GCGTAGGAGGAGATGGCTCCAAAAACGAAAAGGATAAGCGAAATTACCTCAAATTCGACTTTCTGTTTCTCGGATTCTTCGAGAGGAACATAGTATTTGGCAAGACGAGTCTTCCCTTGTCTGTTCTGCAATAATATGAATCGGATCTGACGAATGGAGAGAGAATGAATCGATCAAAAAAATCAAACAAATTTGAACAAGAAAACAAAGGTTGAATCTTTTTTTTTTTTGATAAAGAAACAAAGGTTGAACATTTACAAGAGACATTATTGCAATACCATAATCTGTGGAAACTAACGGAGAATTTACAAGAGATTAAACCCTTTTTTCGTTTCGGATTTTCACACCGGCAAAACAAGAACTTTTGCTTTCCTCTGCTGGGTGCAACCGACCTTGGAATCAGATTCTCAACCCTAATGTCTACACAAATTTCGAGCTTTTTATCTCTTTGGGAACCCGTCAGGTTTTACCGGTAAACCTTACGACCCGATTAAAAATTCAAATCCAGTTTTTCTGTAACCACTAAATAACTTTACTTGTAACAGAATTTTTGAGTTTACTAAAATTTTTAAAGTAAATGATATAACTAACTTTATATGTATAGAAAGCAAATAAAATAATTAAACATGAGGGATTTTCAATTATTACAAATGAATCAAAAAATATATTAAATAGAATTACATGAACATTGCGAAATTCAAAAAATTCATTAAAGTATGAAAATTTGATAAGAGGTCAAATTAAGTAAATCACATCGGTGTAGAATAGTTTGCACCAAATGTAAATCTACATTTTTATATTTATAAAAATGAATATATTAAAGTTAGGGTTTACAAATAAATATCAACCAATATTTTTAAAATATAAATATGTATTGTATATCACAATCACTCATATGAAAGGTACAGTATATGTCATAATTGTTAATAGGAAATTATATCTAATAGTGTTCTAAATATGTTTGATACTTGTAATTAAATTAGGGACGATTGCAAAAATGGCATTTTTGGTGTGCCACTTTGCATTTTTGGTGTGCCACTTTGCAAAAATGCCACATTAGGTTGTTCATTTGCAAAAATACCAC